TTTTCGTCATTTTCTGTCAACTTTAGAGTGCCGTTGTGATTACAGTTCTTCTTGAAATACTTTCAAACTTTGCATGCTTATCAAGCTATATATAAAACAATTACATGAAAAAATTTACGGCGATTCAATATTGGATGCGCACGCAACGTCCGCTCAAAGTTTGCACGTGCGAAAGGTGAGAATTTTGCTCATTCGTGATTTCCAACAAATTCTGCTTTGCCACGACAGTTTAATGTCATTATATATGAATTTAATGCCAACTTGAATGAGTATTAGGTGGCATATTCAGTCAGTGATCGACCGATATGCTTACCTAAACACAAGGAAATGTTTTTAAAGGAAAATTTCGAAATCGTTGAAACTTCCTCCTTATTAATTAATGAAGATATCAGTTTATATTTCGACTTTATAAAGTACCCTGACATTATAATCAAAAAGAGATGATATTTTACCAAAACCCATATTCATGGGTAGAGTGGACCGCTGCCAGTGTCTCTCTTTCCCAAACAAAAGGAAATGATATTAATTTGATTGACCGTTCTCAAATGCAAAATGATACCGAGAATGAAATCGGTCGCTCGCTTTTCCCATTCATTTACAATTGTAATAGATTAAGAAGATCTACCCAAAGGCAGCTGTACTCGGCAATAAAGATTCAATAAACTTCAGCTAATTCAATAAGCAATAACTACTACCCTTACCCCGAAATACTAGGTATCGATCCGAACGCAACCCAAAGAGATTTTTACAGCATCTGACTGATGTAATCAATCGAAATTTATTATAATTCGTAAGCCGTGAATGAATGGAAAAAGCGAGCGACCGATTTCATTCTCGGTATCATTTTGCATTTGAGAACGGTCAATCAAATTAATATCATTTCCTTTTGTTTGGGAAAGAGAGACACTGGCAGCGGTCCACTCTACCCATGAATATGGGTTTTGGTAAAATAAAGTATATGAAGTGGGTACTTCTCGGAAAGGAAAAATTTAGGCAAACACGATGTGACTATTTTTGGGTTGATTTAATACAACTGCAAAAAATTATTCAAACTTCAAGCAAAAAAGTCAAAATTTTTACCACTTTTTTGGGTTTTTACCTGCACTAAAATAGAGGGATATGTTTTATTTTTATACCATCTTGTGCGGCTGTCTTTCAGCTACCTTTAAGCAAATTTTACCGACATGCCAACAAAATTAACTTGCTCAAATTATCAAAAAACATGCTTTTTTGGCCTATTTTTGGCCCCAAAATCAGTTTTTTGCTATTTTAACTGTGCTAACTCAGTCCAATCATTTTGAAACTACTTTTAATCGATTCTACGGTCAAAAATACGTCTAGTAAGGTGTATCTGGGGTCCCTAGCGTATCGAGCAGACAATGCCCGTAAGAGCCTCTACTATATAGTTATCGGACCTTATTTGAACGGACATAAAATGAACGGACATAATTATGAACGGACATTAATATGAACGCTAGAAGGCATTCAAAATCAAAACCATCAAAAATCCGAATTTTTTAAAAACATCTTTTTATTTCAGCAAATGATTTTTATATCCATTTTTTATACAATAAGTAAGAAAAGCAGTCGTTAACCAGTAAAAATGTTAAAATATGTGTCTAATATCACATATCATCTTCATCAAATGGGTTTTCGTGCATGAAATAGTCCATGCTTAAAGCATCAGTGATTTCTAGCTTTATGGAAACCTTTTTTTTAATCAAACTACCCCGATCCTGCATTTCAGTGTTAACTTTTACAAACCATTCGGCGTGAAGTGGTTTTATCTTAGACAACTTTAGGTTAACCTTAACATCACGTGGAGCTTTCCTAACAATGTTCTATTACCTCCCCTGAGTAATATGAACTATAATAACGTCGGACAATGTCCTTGGCAACACGATTTACCGTAATATCTACTTCTAGAGGCTGGAACAAGTTTGTCATGTTGGCGGGGACTAGCTCATGAACTATGTTGTTGAGTGCCATAATTTCGTTGACTTTTTCCGCCGAGTGACCCTTGAAAAAATTATATACTATAAGTAGTTTTCTGTGCCTCCGGCAGACCAAGGAGAACCTTTCCGTCGTTAACTTTCGGCACAATGTCAATAAAGTTATCATAGTTGTCATATTCTGGACAAAAAGTTCGAAGTGGAAAAATGTTTGAAAAAAATTCAACGGACTTTAACTTGGACGGACCTTAAATGAACGGACTTAATTTGAACGGACATTAAGATTAACGTTAGGGCCTCCATGAGCGTTCAATTAATGTCCGTCAAAATAAGGTCCGATAAGGTAGTTATATTGCATAGACTAGAATGCATATTCAGGAGTGCCTGCTTTAATATACTCGGACGATGAGCCCTCGGTCCTCACAAAAGATAATCTTTAGAATTGTACATAGTTAAGATTATAGTAGTACAATTTCTGAAAAGCAGTATGTAAACACATGAAAAGCAGTGTGCTCCTTAGTCCTTACCCCTTATATTAGCCACTAGCTTTGTTATTAAAACACGTGATTCGATCACGTGATGTTATCTCATTGTAAACAGGGTTTATTTTTTATTACGTGTAGTATGGTAAATTATTAACACAATAGTTAACTAATAATATTAATATTATAAAATATTATATGTATATGAGTACAGATTCGAAGTGAAACATCGAGTTCCGTTCTGGCGAGGTCTGGAGAGCTGGGAGGAACCTTCGAGATCGTCTGGAAGGGCTGATCTAAAAGCAAGCTTTGCTCAGTATTTATAGCTAATCTAACTAGACTAACGAGCTAGTTAACGTATATATGACATCTTAGCTTTGCTCTGCAAATACATTATCTTTCGCCGCAATTTTCGAGGTTTTCTCCGCGATTTTTCCTAGTTTGGCATGTCGCGGCGCCGAGATCTTTGGCCTAAATAACCACGATGTTCTTTTGTTCTTGATGCATGATGGTATAACTATAAGTCGGGAGGCGGTTAAAAGCTGTGAGTTCTGTTTGATAAAGAGTGCAATAGGCAGGAAGCTCGGATGATTTTTCCTCAAGAGCCTTTAGTGTAATCGTTGTGTACATCATGGAGTATGCACGATGCAGCGGGCCTCATACCATCTCCATACGATGCATTTGGCCGATGACCCGACTATGAAGATCCATTTAAAGCTACAAACAGTGTTTTTAATGAAATGTGCCATAAACTGGATGTTATAAAGGAGTACGGAGATTTTGTGTTAAAAAACGTGAACAAGCGATCAGTTTCGAAAGAAAACGCGGAGCAGAAAACTGTCATTGATTTGCAAGAGAAGCTCATTGAAAAGAAGGACGAAGAACTCAAGTCAGTCAAAACAACAGTGCAGACAGAGATAAAATTATATTTTTCTGCCCTGAAGATAACTTATGCAGCTGCTCTTACGCCAAAGAATATTTGTAATGCTGACAATAGCTGAAAAGGACGAAAGAAGCAGGAACGTCGTAATCTATGGAATACGTGAATCTGACGGTGAGAAATTAGAAAACAAAGTTGTTGAAGTTCTTGGTGAGATAAACGAGAAACCTTCTGCATTAAGTGACTGCTGTAGAATTGGTCTAAAGAGAGCCGACACATCACGACCTACTATTTAAGCTATCTCAGAATATCTCTGATATGGCTGCTGATGTGCTGAGAAAAGCTATAAACTCAAAACTACTACTATACGTGCAAAAGAGCCCTCTATTTACTTTTAGATAAATAGATAAGTGATAGATCTGTGGAAGAAAGGAAATCTTTCAAGAAGCTCTGGGAGGAATTTAAAGAGAAGAGGAAAGCAGAGCCTAACAAAGTTAATTTCATAAGGACCAATGAAATTGTCAGCTCTGATAAAAACAGTGTATCAGCCTCGTTGCTCGTCTGACAAAATTTGAAAGGTTTCACATTTTCCACCACACATGCGTTTTTTCACATATTCGTTTTAACATTTTGTTTCACATCTTTGTTATCATATCGCGGGGCCATGTAATTGCTTAAAGTTAATTGACGATGTCAGTCCTTCGCAGATCGGCGTGGCCCAGTGCGTATAGTGCATCTCGCCGATCTATATATATAGATAGGCTAACGAAGGTTGTGACTGTGAGAAGGTTGTGAGAAACATAATTTGATGCGCAGCGCGGTCCAGCTAATTAATAGTGTATCGCGCTACAAGTACAATGTAATTGTGTGCACAATTCAACATTCAATGTGCAGTACCGTATTTGGTCTCCCGTCCGATTTTATAGACGGGGGTAATAATTAATTCGAGTTAATTTTATACGTTATAAATATAATTGCTGTACTCTATAAAGTTTGAAAAGTATTTAATTGAAAAAGTAGTACTATTATGGTCAGTTACTGGGCGGTGCTCAGTCTGTCATTCTGCCGCAGCTTCAATCACAGCTTCATTTTGTTAGTGTTTATGGTGTCGCAACTTACTCTGGAGGGGCTGACGCTTAGACTTAAAGCAAGCTCAAGATCCTTAATTATGAATCATTCATCTTAGACTTGATATTTACTCATTTTGAAAGCGATTAATATCCAACCTGGTTATTAATATTTCACCACAATATACTGTCTCAGCCGCACGAAAACTAAAAGTTGTCAACTCGTTCACAGCTTAGGTCTTGGAACACAGAGTGTGGCTTTACACTAACCTTGCACGTTTGCAGAATGCTCCAGCCTCCCTAGTCAGTGTAATAAGCGCCAAGCGCGAGCACAGAACTTTTTTCTCCGATTTCGATAAATTTGGTACCAAAAGTTGTCTAAAAATGTGAATAAAATAAATCCACCGTGTAGCAATTTTCGGAAAAAATGCTACACGGCGCTTGTTCGCCGCGCCATGTCATATCAATATGTTCAACATGAGCCGGTGCTTTTACTAGGTTAAGGTAAGTTTATCTAAGTTAATTTGAGACAAAGAAAAGAGCAACTAAGGATCTCACTATACTTGACTCATTTTGATGTGGTTATTGGATTAGAGAAATTAATTTATAAAGACCAAGAGCTCTGCACTTTTACAATTAATTTCTTATTTGTACGTAAGTCGGTTAGAACTAAGTTGTTCGAGATGAGGCGACTATTTTCTGTCACTCTTTTGGGATTGATTCATGTGCTCTGGGCCAGTCGTAAGTTAGATGTTTATTTTTTCTACAAGCCGTGTTTACAGGATGGACTACTAGTACTATCTACCTTATCCGACTTTATTTGAACGGGCAATAATTGGGCGCTGGAGGCACTAGCGCTCATTTTTAATGTCCGTTCAATTAAATTATGTCCGTTAACGCAACTTCCGGTCAAATAACGGCCGATAAGGTAGTTCCACATCAATACTACTACAAACTCTGTGAACAATAATACTTTCAGAAAGTCACATTTTTGATGCTGAGGAGGGTGTTGAGTACAAGTTGAACAAGCAATTAGAGGCTGGTGACGTCATCAGAGCTTGGGGTGTTTACAAGGATGATTCCACCTCCAAATTCAGGTACCTCTTGTTTTATATTATTAGTGATAAGTGACAGAATGAATGAAACTATCGGCTTATCTGATCCCTGACGTAGATTAAAACATAACCTTAGCGGACTTTATTCGGCCTCATCAAGTCCGACCGATTCTAAATCCGTTCGAATTTTCGACTACGTTCAAATAAATTATGGCGCCCATAATTATATCCACCCAAAATAATGTTCTTCCAAACAATGTATGCCCAAATAAGGTCCATGATAAGGTATTACATGATCATATCATTAATAATTATTTTTCAGTGTCAACATCCGAGGATCAAGTTCACTGTATCACCTTCACGTAGACTTCCGTCCTTATAACAACGTAGTGGTCCTGAACAACTTCAATAACGGGTGGAAAACTGAGATCAGGTACTAACTGATAGAAATCTTGATTTCCATATTATGATAAATCTGAAATCTAATTGACCACTAGTATCGGTAAAGTAACCAATATATCATACAGCACGTGTGTGTGTGACCTCAATATTTGAGATACCATGTTTACTTGGAATCCCTTGAGTAACCGCTAAATAACCCCTGAATAACCCCTGAGTAATCACTGAGTAATCACTGAGTAACCGCGGAGTAACAAAATATCCCCAAAACACGTTAAGCTCACTTGATTTCTACTACATAATATATGGAGTAGGTACTATTATTAAACAGGATAGTAGATGTGGATACTGGCGGGGAGGTGATAATTGTTTGTTTACGTTTTAGGTGGCGCCTCTATTCAGCAGGTTGAAGATGTGATGCAAATTATGTATTATAGAACGCTTGTAACACTTGTAACTCCTTCTTGTTACCCCCCTTTGAAAGTACCGAATTATTTTTTGAACGAAAGCTTAAAAATAACCGAGAAATCGACCTTCTTATTAAAATTGATGTTTTATAGTTAATACGAGCAACAAGCAACATATATTTTGATCCTTCGGTTCCACTCATGACCTAGGGCCTAGGGAGTTAAGCTGAAACCGAAAGATCGAGGCAATCCTCACCTTAACTGATCAAACAGGTACCTACAAACACAATTTTCAGATAGAAATTTTCGTTGCAATATGTTTATTGCAGCTTTGCAACTTGAGTGAAGAGCAGAGTACGAAAACACACAGCAGGTTAGCAACTCATTTTGGTGACTGTTTCTCTCCTACCATTGTGCGTGACATCGATTTAGGTTGGTTTCACAGCCCAACAACACTCAAAATTCATGATTTACTCAAACGAAGAACATTTTGATTCTGCAACGAAAGAACAAGGATATCGTCTCGTTAACAACTCGAACAGGTACTATCACAATTTTCAGAGCAAAGCACGATAGCTAAGTCAAAAGGAACACAATGAAGGTAGGTAACCAACACCATGATATAACAATCATAATAACAACTGAATCAAATTTTTTTCTGAACGACGGGCAGCCATGCACTCCGTGATCCTGACCGAGCGACCAATTGTAATAGAGGTGTTATGTCACGTGACGCCGATCCGTCCACTCACAAACAGGAAGAGTGAGCAGACGGATATTATATATATCGTTTGTTTACTTTTAGTATCTGTATTTGACCCTCTGTTCAATTTGTTATCTCTACCACAGCTTGGCTTGGCAATTTCAAGGTGCTTATATCTGTACCGCGGTACACACGCCATGATTACGTCATGAACTAGAAATAGTTGTACAGAATACAAGTCACATTCACATTTCACATACTTGAATTAACATTTTAACCCTAATTTTGATAGCTTTGAGCAACTAAAGTTCGTGGCTTTCAAGTGTCACCATACTCTAACTACACTAGTGAATTTTATAAATTCATAAGGTAAAACCTACAGGAGGACATGACAATTAGGGTTAAGTTTGACCCAATTTCCCGAGCTTACCAGGAATTCTACCATGTGTCAGGAGCCGTTGGGACGCTCAATGTAAATAGTCCACCCCGGGTTTGACCAGGTGACATTTGAATCCACCGCTGTAGTATTGGTTGTTATCTATCATACGTTCAATAATCACTGTTCTAACAGTAACCTGTTACTCTGGTCGGCACCTCTTCTGCATCTGCATGAGATCAAATGAGAAACTGAGAGGGTGCACGTGAACGCTAACAGGGTGCATGTCAGCACATGACCCATGAAGCAAATTCTTAGTTGCCTGTTTAAATTCCTTCCTCATTTATCGTTTTAGTTGAAAATTCCTTTTTTAATCAATCTTCAGTCAGAACTTTAAACCAGGGGAAGCGATCCATAATTGGCATCCATACGGCAAATATAATGTGGTGTGAAGAGTTTATAAACACGTTCATCAAGTTATTCTGTTACACACAATGTTAATCTTCTTTGTTAACAATAGCCTCGTGATGCTAAGGAGAATATTTCAACTAATGTTAAGATTCGCTGAGACCTATTGACGGGGCATGTTTTACATTTTCTTATTGTCCTGCTGGGTTGTTGACCAGCCGCATAGAGCTAGCTCTGTGAGGCTGGTCACTATACTCACGTTCAACAATTTATTGCATATTTTTTACACGCTAACCTAACCAGCTGATGGTCATATTGATTATCATGACAAAAATGAATCTGGTTACTACATTTAAACCCAATTTAACGTGGAATTTGGACGTGTCACAGTTCAAATTTGAGTGAGCCGCCTTGTCAGGCTGTCAAAAGCTGTCTAGGAGATATGACCGGTGCCGGGGTTTCTCATAATTATCATAGTTCCCTACCTCTGTAGCTATTAGTATTCCCACGATAGAAATCCTATTTTGATTCATGGCCGTGATGAATGGATTTCCAGTAGATTTCATTCGAAGTCGAATCACTTCGGGTTTATCTTGATAGCTTTGAGCTATTGTAAACCAATTGCTTCTCTTCTCACTAACTATCGGACGATTTACGTACTAAAGTTCGATAACGAAAGTTCGTGTTTTTCGAATGTCACTATATATATTTTTTTATTGAAATCTTTCAATTATTATCATCAGAATTTATTACAATATCAATGTTGTATAGAATTTCTAAAAATGGACTAGAGAAACCAAAAAATGCCTTGACAAGTGTACAGCGATGATAACAATCAGGGGACACCAATACACCCAAATAACCAAACAAAAGGCCTCGAGAGACCTGGTGAAAAGTCGAGCAATTACATTGGGCCCCAAGTGCAGAAGGAGAAAAATGGGCAAATAATATGAGCTGTGAACTTAGGAGGCATTTCTAGGTTTTTAAGAATAATTGCCACAACCCAAAAATTCTCAATTACAATTGGCTGATTTGTAATATTTCCAATGGAATGAAGTTTTAACGATAAAATTTAAATAATTGAATATAGAAGACTAAATCAAAATTGTATCCGAATAAAGCAAAAATGCGTGATGAGTACCTCAAAAAAAATAAAAACAAAAATAATATACTACTATATACTAATGAACGTTATAAATTCGAGATCCTGGTGGAACCTACTAACCTACAGGTGGACATGACAAGGATTTAGTTTGACCCATTTACCCGAGCCAACTGTCAATAAACTTAATAATCACTTCTGCTTGAGCGAGCATGCTGTCTCTTTTACACAAAACTCAGTTACAGAACTTTAGTACGTAAATCGTCCGATAGTTAGTGAGAGGAGGAGCAATTGGTTTATAATAGCTTAAAGTTATCAAGATAAACCCGAAGTGATTCGACTTCTAATGAAATCTACTGGAAATCCAATCATCACGGCCGTGAATCAAAATAGGATTTCTATCGTGGGAATAGCTACAGAGGTATGGAACTATGATCATCATGAGAAACCCCGGCACCGGTCATAACTCATATCCGGCGGTTTTTACATTTACGAGCCGACTATCTCCTAGACAGCTTTTGACAGCCTGACAGGGTGGCTCACTCAAATTTGAACTGTGACACGTCCAAATTCCACGTTAAATTGGGTTTAAATGTAGTAACCAGATTCATTATAAATAAAATTTTTGTCATGATAATCAATATGACCATCAGTTGGTTAGGTTAGCGTGTAAAAAATATGCAATAAATTGTTGAACGTGGGTATAGTGACCAGCCTCACAGAGCTAGCTCTATGCGGCTGGTCAACAACCCAGCAGGACAATAAGAAAATGTAAAACATGCCCCGTCAATAGGTCTCAGCGAATCTTAACATTAGTTGAAATATTCTCCTTAGCATCACGAGGCTATTGTTAACAAAGAAGATTAACATTGGGTGTAACAGAATAACTTGATGAACGTGTTTATAAACTCTTCACACCACATTATATTTGCCGTACGGATGCCAATTATGGATCGCTTCCCCTGGTTTAAAGTTCTGACTGAAGATTGATTAAAAAAGGAATTTTCAACTAAAACGATAAATGAGGAAGGAATTTAAACAGGCAACTAAGAATTTGCTTCATGGGTCATGTGCTGACATGCACCCTGTTAGCGTTCACGTGCACCCTCTCAGTTTCTCATTTGATCTCATGCAGATGCAGAAGAGGTGCCGACCAGAGTAACAGGTTACTGTTAGAACAGTGATTATTGAACGTATGATAGATAACAACCAATACTACAGCGGTGGATTCAAATGTCACCTGGTCAAACCCGGGGTGGACTATTTACATTGAGCGTCCCAACGGCTCCTGACACATGGTAGAATTCCTGGTAAGCTCGGGAAATTGGGTCAAACTTAACCCTAATTGTCATGTCCTCCTGTAGGTTTTACCTTATGAATTTATAAAATTCACTAGTGTAGTTAGAGTATGGTGACACTTGAAAGCCACGAACTTTAGTTGCTCAAAGCTATCAAAATTAGGGTTAAAATGTTAATTCAAGTATGTGAAATGTGAATGTGACTTGTATTCTGTACAACTATTTCTAGTTCATGACGTAACCATGGCGTGTGTACCGCGGTACAGATATAAGCACCTTGAAATTGCCGAGCCAAGCTGTGGTAGAGATAACAAATTGAACAGAGGGTCAAATACAGATAAGAAAAGTTAACAAACGATATATATAATATCCGTCTGCTCACTCTTCCTGTTTGTGAGTGGACGGATCGGCGTCACGTGACATAATACCTCTATTACAATTGGTCGCTCGGTCAGGATCACAGAGTGCATGGCTGCCCGTCGTTCAGAAAAAAATTTGATTCAGTTGTTATTATGATTGTTATATCATGGTGTTGGTTACCTACCTTCATTGTGTTCCTTTTGACTTAGCTATCGTGTTTTGCTCTGAAAATTGTGATAGTACCTGTTCGAGTTGTTAACGAGACGATATCCTTGTTCTTTCGTTGCAGAATCAAAATGTTCTTCGTTTGAGTAAAACATGAATTTTGAGTGTTGTTGGGCTGTGAAACCAACCTAAATCGATGTCTCGCACAATGGTAGGAGAGAAACAGTCACCAAAATGAGTTGCTAATCTGCTGTGTGTTTTCGTACTCTGCTCTTCACTCAAGTTGCAAAGCTGCAATAAACATATTGCAACGAACATTTCTATCTGAAAATTGTGTTTGTAGGTACCTGTTTGATCAGTTAAGGTGAGGATTGCCTCGATCTTTCGGTTTCAGCTTAACTCCCTAGGCCCTAGGTCATGAGTAGAACCGAAGGATCAAAATATATGTTGCTTGTTGCTCGTATTAACTACCTTATCGGACCTTATTTGGACGGACATTACTTGAACGGACATAATTATGAACGGACATTAATATGAACGCTAGAAGGCAGTCAAAACCACCAAAAATCCGAATTTTTTTTCATCTTTTTTAAAATATATATATAATAACATTTATAAACAAAAGAGCACCTAAAGAGGCTCAGCAAAGTGCTGGCCTATTTACGCTTACGAAGACTCGTTCGTTCAATATGTCTCAAAGTAAATAAACTCCTCCATAATATTCTATCTCTTGCTAAGTTCACTAAGTTGGTAAAATCATCTTCATTTTTCAAATAAATTTGTCTCTTAAATAGGTCCTTTTTCACAATAATATCATACAAATTAGTCCTGTGTCTACCCACTCGTCCCTTTAGTGTTTGACATCCTAGTGTAGCAAATAACAGAGACTGGTAGGCAGGCGTGTCGTTGTCACTGCGTAGAACATGACCTAGCATTGTCCACCGTGCCTTTTCCACTCTCTCGGAAAGGGGCCTGGTCTGGGTACGAGCGTAGAGGGCTTTGTTAGATATTGAGCTAGGCCAATAGATGTGTAGGATGCGCTTGAGGTGCTTCCTCTGAACAACATCTACAGACTCTAGAACATGCTGAGGTACGGCCAGCAGCAGCAGTTGTACAGGAGCACTGATACTACTAGTGAGTCGTAGAGCTTGATCTTTCTCTTCTCAGTTATCTGACTCCTCTCTGATCCCTGTCACCACAGCTTGTCAAATGACCAGAAGACAGAGTTAGCTTTATTTATTCTATTAGTAACATCCTGCTCTGATCCAAGCTTTTTAAAAGTTTTTTTAATTTTAGCAAATGATTTCTAAATCAATTTTTCATACAGTAAGCAAGAAAAGCAGTCTTTAATTAGTAAACATGTTAAAATATGTGTACATGATTATTGTCTAATATCACATATCATCTTCATCAAATGGGTTTTCGTGCATTAAATATACCATGCTTATAAAGCATCAGTAATACCCGATTTTTGGAAACCTTTTTTATCAAACTACCTCGCGCTCGGTCCTGCATTTCAGTGTAAACTTTTAAGAGCCATTCGGCGTGAAGTGGTTTTATCTTAGACAACTTTAGGTTAACCTTAACATCACGTGGAGCTTTCCCAGCACTTATCTGTTTCATTACCTCCCCTGAGTAGTATAGTAGTATGAACTATAACAACGTCGGACAATGTCCTTAGCAACACGATTTACCGTGATATCTAGACGCTGAAATGTGAAACAAGTTTGTCATGTTGGCGGGGACTAGCTCATGAACTATGTTGTTGAGTGCCATAATTTCGTTGACTTTTTCCGTCAAATGACCCTTGAAAACATCATTATATACTAGAAAAGTTTTCTGTGCCTCCGGCAGACCAAGGAGAACCTTTTCGTCGTTCAACTTAACATACGGTACTATGATGTTCTCGATAAACCTATTGTTGTAGATTCATTTGCCCAATGGTTCTCGTTAAAAATAACCTCAAAGTCTTTCGGAAATGTATATTTAGGAAGAGATTGCTTTGCTTTTCCCTTGTAGATCAACTGTATGGGCAAACAAATTTAGATCAAGATAGTGATCATGCCATAATGTGATATTTACAATTTAGATCGTTAAAATTTTATAATAACTTTTTCATTGATTCAACGGTATAGTTTAGTCTATTGGTAGCTATTGAAATTGACTGAAATTAAAAGTTGTCAAATTCTGGACAAAAAGTTCAAAATGGAAAAAAATTTTTAAAAATTCAACGGACTTTAGCTTGGACGGACATTAAATGAACGGACTTTATTTGAACGGACATTAAGATGAACGCTAGGGCCTCCAGCGTTCAAGTAATGTCCGTCCAAATAAGGTCCGATAAGGTATATAAAACATCCATTTTGAGGGATGAGGAAGTGTTTATAGGTTCTGAAACCTAGTTAAATCGATTTTTCGTGCAATTTTAGGTTAGTAACAGTCATCAAAATGAGTTAATAAGAAGGTCGATTTCTCGGTTATTTTTAAGTTTTTGTTCAGAAAATAATTCGGGACCTTCAAAGGGGGGTAACAAGAAGGAGTTACAAGTGTTACAAGCGTTCTATAATATAAAATTTGCATCACCTCTTCAACCTGCTGAATAGAGGCGCCACCTAAAACGTAAACAAACAATTATCACCTCCCCGTCAGTATCCACATCTATAGTGTACAGACACAGTAGTATACTACTACTAGTAGTAGTACACACGAACATGATGAATAGATCTGGATCTGTGAACCATATTGTACTGTGAACCATATTGTTCTGAATTCTGATACGAGACAGTGATTAATTACTGTCACGTGTCAAAACAAATACAGTTCACCTGTAATTGTACACCTTGGTTAACACTGGAAGCAACTAACTATTTAAATAATTAAAAAAGCAAATAACTATTTAAATTATACTAATAAACCACCACAACGTGTCGCCAGGCCAGGATTTAGCAAAAGTAACTTTGCTGCGAATACCTTGTTCGAGGTGAAGATAGAGGTTACAGACAGCGAATACAAGATCTATTTCAACGGAGAGCAGCTGTCTCTTACTTTCCCTCATGCGGGTCGTGAGGATATGAACACAGCTAACCAAGGTAAGTCACTGTAAGTGTAAATCACTGTCATTATGCATGATAATTTATATGTTTAGAGTGGTTTACGGAGGGAGAGGGGGGTTTAAATTTCCAAAATCTGACTTACGTAATATTTGAACGATGCTTCAATTCATAACAAGGTGGTATGTAGCTACATCGGCAAACAAAATCACATCAAAAAGTTAATATTTAGTAATATGTGAACGACATCTCACACAAAACCTCCACAGTTGTTCTGCACGGAGGCAGCAACGGCTTCAAATGGACATCCCTACAACTCCCTAACGGACCAATAACCAGCTCTGGCAGTCCCTTCTCCACCTCGACTGGAGTAAAGAACTATCTGGAACAACCTCTGGCTGTGGGAGACGTTGTGTCAGCGTGGGGTATCTATGCTACTGGTTCTAGCAAGTTCAGTGTCAATTTTATGATGGAGAATGAACAGTATTTTATGATCCACGTTGATTTCAGACCCCCTCCTAGCGAGAATAAGGTATGGTTAATTTGTCAATCAACCAATTAATTAATTAACATTAGCCGTAGTTTATAAGTCTGATTAGAACTGTTTGTTTTCTTTCCGAACCAGCTAAACTTATATCTTATCAATAGCCTGTGATCGTTGTTTCATAAATGAGGAAATGAAAGTCTCGCTATTTATATTTTACGACTAACCAATGCACTTAGTAAACAACTAAAACTTCCACTAGGTTGTACTCAACTCCAAGAAACAGGCAGGTTGGGAAACAGAACTCCGTACCGCCCTGCCAGACTTTCAAAACGGCAAGTCCTTCAAAGTGGACGTCAAATGCCTTGAGGGCGAGTTTGAAATCTACCACAACGGCAACAAACTAGGATCTACCTTTCCCTACAGGACGGGGTTTGCTCTTGAAGATGTTAAGTATGTGTGGCTAGTTGGAGGCAGTCTTGGGATGGTCTGGACTGATATTGCTCTTCCCATTCAAGTTCGTTCAACTAATTTAACGCTATTGACGTTGAATATGGACACGTGATTTATCTACTTACTTTAATTTTAAAATTATCATCATTCACTCTATTCATGACAAAACTGTACATTTTATTTTTTAAATCTTTCATTCCAGTCGATATCCGGGGGAGTATCTCTGGAGATGGTGTCAGCTAGTCAAAGTAGCATCGGTTGGAACGGAGACGCAGGCAGAGGGATTGATGGTAACACTAATGGTTACTACTGGGCTAACTCGTGCACTCACTCCGACGGGGCCAAGGATAATTGGTGGATGGCTACTTTGGCTGAGAACTCTGCAGTGAGCAAGGTTGTTATTCACAACAGGGTTGATTGCTGCTCAGTGAGGATTAATGGTGCTAAGGTTAGACTTTTACAACTTTTAAAAGTTTCAGCTAAAGAGCAGTTTTAAATTTGATTGATATTCTCTTCAAATACCCCAAACATCTTCAAATCTTTAATTCCACTTGTCTCATGCTCAATCTGTACAGGTGTATGTAGGGGACGTGTATTGCGGTGAGGTGGCATACGAAGCGGGGAAGGTTATATACGAGGTAGATTGTGACGGTGCTGTTGGGGGAAGTGTTAAAGTTGTACAGAACGACAACCCCCTGACTCTTTGTGAAGTGCAGGTTGTTGGAGCTCCTTCTGATGAGATACCTCTTACAAACATTGTTTCAGGTTCGTATACCCTTCATTATGGAGTTTTAGTATCGTCAATGCAATTTTGTTTTGAATTTCTTAGAGCATGTTTCCATGAACTATCGCAGAGTTTTGTTATAAACATTGTGACTGCCCAGGATTTCCCACTTGGCAGAGCAGTGAGGGATGGTCGGGGTCTCCAAATCGAGCAACTGATGGACGATCTAATGGCGACTACTGGGATGGATCTTGTACTCACAGCGGATCTACTGACTTCAACCTATGGATGGTGGATTTAATTTTAAAATTATCCAAATTATACTTATACTTACTATACCTTATGTTAATGATTTAATATGAAGGTACTAAAAAAGGAGACTCTAAAAATCTTGGCATTAAGGTATGAAACTCTGGATAAAATATACAAATTGTAGTTACACATATTATTCAGGTGGATTTGATAGACAAGTACGAGGTGAGCAGGGTGGTTATTCACAACAGGGTGGATTGCTGTGCCGAAAGGATTGATGGGGTTCAGGTACTTTCACGTTCACTTTCACGTTCACTTTCACTTTCACTTTCACTTTCACTTTCACTTTCACTTTCACTTTCACTTTCACTTTCACTTTCACTTTCACTTTCACTTTCACTTTCACTTTCACTTTCACTTTCACTTTCACTTTCACTTAAACGTTGCTTCTATTTGTTTGAAACTTTTCTTCATTGTGAAACATTAAGTTTTATTATACATATTTGTTCTGTAAATTCACAAAAGTTCGCATCTAAATCTAACCCTCTCCCTTCACCCTCTCCCCTAACCCTCTCCCTTCACCAGGTTTTTGTCAACAACAACCTATGCGGAACAGTTGAGTACATGGCAGGACAGAACGTGTACGTGGTGGATTGTGGTGATATAACTGGTATTGCTATCAAGATAACCCAAGAGGGCATACTTACACTGTGTGAAGTTGAGGTTCTTGGTAGGTTGAACTTGAAGGGTGCTTTTTTCTAATTTATTATATATTTGCGTTTCACGTTGAATTATCGTGGAGAAAACTTGAAATCTCTACAATCGTTAGATCATTTAAATCCCTCAATCTTTCTTAGTAATAATATTAAAAGAATCATTATTAATATTAACTTATCTAATAATAATTAACTAAATTAGTATTAAAATTGTTACCAACCACACGATACCTTACAGCGAGGATATCGGAGCGGGAAGGAAAGTTTATAAACATAGCCCAGTCGGGTGTAGCTACACAAGACAGCACAGGTTGGGAAGGGGTAGCTGCACGTGCTATAGATGGCAGTGCCAGTGGAGCCTACTTTCAGGGTAAAAGCTGCTCACACAACGGGGACCTGGCTGATGGCTGGTGGAACCTGGAGTTTCCTGAACCGGTTGCAGTCAGGAAGATTGTTATTTATAACAGGGAAGATTGTTGCCAGGATCGTATCAACAATGTTAAGATATACGCTGATGGTGAGCTATGCGGGAGACTCGAATACGTGGAGGGACAACGTGTGTACAAGAAGGGGTGTGCTAGTGATACTACCGAGTACAGAATGGCAACTAACATCAGGATTGAGGCTGCTGAGGGGACTTATTTGACGCTGTGTGAAGTACAGGTTTGGGAATTTTAAAATTTTAAAATAAGAATTTATGAGATAAGGTTTGGTTAGCACTTTGCATGCTGTCGTTCATTATATTATGACATATTGGGCAGATGTCTTGCAAGACGTAGGATACGAGCTGTTTTCCATGATCTACTCGTTTAAATGTCGTTTAAATTAAACATTAATTCGTTAAGATTAAAAAGTAATATGCAAAGTCTATCGGAAAAGGACAATAATTAGTTTTGCAAAACACCTGTCCCAGCTCATTAAATCAATTTTAATGTAAAGCATCTGTTTCCTAATTCTAAACATTTATATTCTCATCAAACATTTCACGCTGTGTTTTTTGTCTAACTAAGAACTCACTAGTTGTGGACACAACAAGAAAATTGAGAATAATCTTGTGCGAGGGTAGGGACCCAGATGTCGTTTCTAACCCAAATAAACTTTAAGGAGGCTTCTCATCAGTAGCCGCACCTCCTTACTCGGTTTCTGAACTGGAATTCTATGGGCTTCCAGACGGCCAGACCGAGTATTACCATCCCATCCTTCTAGAGTTCATCACAAGTAGCACCCACCTTGAAGATCTTTGACACCCAGACACACCCCATTGGCGAACAAACTTTGGATATAATCTTACATGCTCCCGAAGGAATCCCTGGTTTATGGTCTTTCTCATCGTCACCAGCACTTTCACTAGGTCACCAGCTCTTTCACTGAAGTCATCAGCCCTTTCACTGAAGTCATCAGATGTGACTCTGATCAACGGTATAGTTGTGGACACAACAAGAAAATTGAGAATAATCTTGTGCGAGGGTAGGGACCCAGATGTCGTTTCTAACCCAAATAAACTTTAAGGAGGCTTCTCATCAGTAGCCGCACCTCCTTACTCGGTTTCTGAACTGGAATTCTATGGGCTTCCAGACGGCCAGACCGAGTATTACCATCCCATCCTTCTAGAGTTCATCACAAGTAGCACCCACCTTGAAGATCTTTGACACCCAGACACACCCCATTGGCGAACAAACTTTGGATATAATCTTACATGCTCCCGAAGGAATCCCTGGTTTATGGTCTTTCTCATCGTCACCAGCACTTTCACTAGGTCACCAGCTCTTTCACTGAAGTCATCAGCCCTTTCACTGAAGTCATCAGATGTGACTCTGATCAACGGTATAGTTGTGGACACAACAAGAAAATTGAGAATAATCTTGTGCGAGGGTAGGGACCCAGATGTCGTTTCTAACCCAAATAAACTTTAAGGAGGCTTCTCATCAGTAGCCGCACCTCCTTACTCGGTTTCTGAACTGGAATTCTATGGGCTTCCAGACGGCCAGACCGAGTATTACCATCCCATCCTTCTAGAGTTCATCACAAGTAGCACCCACCTTGAAGATCTTTGACACCCAGACACACCCCATTGGCGAACAAACTTTGGATATAATCTTACATGCTCCCGAAGGAATCCCTGGTTTATGGTCTTTCTCATCGTCACCAGCACTTTCACTAGGTCACCAGCTCTTTCACTGAAGTCATCAGCCCTTTCACTGAAGTCATCAGATGTGACTCTGATCAACGGTATAGTTGTGGACACAACAAGAAAATTGAGAATAATCTTGTGCGAGGGTAGGGACCCAGATGTCGTTTCTAACCCAAATAAACTTTAAGGAGGCTTCTCATCAGTAGCCGCACCTCCTTACTCGGTTTCTGAACTGGAATTCTATGGGCTTCCAGACGGCCAGACCGAGTATTACCACCCCATCCTTCTAGAGTTCATCACAAGTAGCACCCACCTTGAAGATCTTTGACACCCAGACACACCCCATTGGCGAACAAACTTTGGATATAATCTTACATGCTCCCGAAGGAATCCCTGGTTTATGGTCTTTCTCATCGTCACCAGCACTTTCACTAGGTCACCAGCTCTTTCACTGAAGTCATCAGCCCTTTCACTGAAGTCATCAGATGTGACTCTGATCAACGGTATAGTTGTGGACACAACAAGAAAATTGAGAATAATCTTGTGCGAGGGTAGGGACCCAGATGTCGTTTCTAACCCAAATAAACTTTAAGGAGGCTTCTCATCAGTAGCCGCACCTCCTTACTCGGTTTCTGAACTGGAATTCTATGGGCTTCCAGACGGCCAGACCGAGTATTACCATCCCATCCTTCTAGAGTTCATCACAAGTAGCACCCACCTTGAAGATCTTTGACACCCAGACACACCCCATTGGCGAACAAACTTTGGATATAATCTTACATGCTCCCGAAGGAATCCCTGGTTTATGGTCTTTCTCATCGTCACCAGCACTTTCACTAGGTCACCAGCTCTTTCACTGAAGTCATCAGCCCTTTCACTGAAGTCATCAGATGTGACTCTGATCAACGGTATAGTTGTGGACACAACAAGAAAATTGAGAATAATCTTGTGCGAGGGTAGGGACCCAGATGTCGTTTCTAACCCAAATAAACTTTAAGGAGGCTTCTCATCAGTAGCCGCACCTCCTTACTCGGTTTCTGAACTGGAATTCTATGGGCTTCCAGACGGCCAGACCGAGTATTACCATCCCATCCTTCTAGAGTTCATCACAAGTAGCACCCACCTTGAAGATCTTTGACACCCAGACACACCCCATTGGCGAACAAACTTTGGATATAATCTTACATGCTCCCGAAGGAATCCCTGGTTTATGGTCTTTCTCATCGTCACCAGCACTTTCACTAGGTCACCAGCTCTTTCACTGAAGTCATCAGCCCTTTCACTGAAGTCATCAGATGTGACTCTGATCAACGGTATAGTTGTGGACACAACAAGAAAATTGAGAATAATCTTGTGCGAGGGTAGGGACCCAGATGTCGTTTCTAACCCAAATAAACTTTAAGGAGGCTTCTCATCAGTAGCCGCACCTCCTTACTCGGTTTCTGAACTGGAATTCTATGGGCTTCCAGACGGCCAGACCGAGTATTACCATCCCATCCTTCTAGAGTTCATCACAAGTAGCACCCACCTTGAAGATCTTTGACACCCAGACACACCCCATTGGCGAACAAACTTTGGATATAATCTTACATGCTCCCGAAGGAATCCCTGGTTTATGGTCTTTCTCATCGTCACCAGCACTTTCACTAGGTCACCAGCTCTTTCACTGAAGTCATCAGCCCTTTCACTGAAGTCATCAGATGTGACTCTGATCAACGGTATAGTTGTGGACACAACAAGAAAATTGAGAATAATCTTGTGCGAGGGTAGGGACCCAGATGTCGTTTCTAACCCAAATAAACTTTAAGGAGGCTTCTCATCAGTAGCCGCACCTCCTTACTCGGTTTCTGAACTGGAATTCTATGGGCTTCCAGACGGCCAGACCGAGTATTACCATCCCATCCTTCTAGAGTTCATCACAAGTAGCACCCACCTTGAAGATCTTTGACACCCAGACACACCCCATTGGCGAACAAACTTTGGATATAATCTTACATGCTCCCGAAGGAATCCCTGGTTTATGGTCTTTCTCATCGTCACCAGCACTTTCACTAGGTCACCAGCTCTTTCACTGAAGTCATCAGCCCTTTCACTGAAGTCATCAGATGTGACTCTGATCAACGGTATAGTTGTGGACACAACAAGAAAATTGAGAATAATCTTGTGCGAGGGTAGGGACCCAGATGTCGTTAATAACATAATTAACCCACTAATCAATAACATCCCCTCCATCAAGGTCCTATCCGACCCTAATGCTCTCTCCTCTGATAACTTGGTGAATCTAGCGTACCTCAAGCCCACCTCCCAATCCACTACTGGATGGGGTGGTGTATCCAGCAGGGCTGTAGATGGCAAGGAGTGCGGCAAATACAGCGCGTAAGTTCTTATCTCCTTTTAAAAACAGTGAGAGATTTGTTTTTGTGATCACCAACATGTATTGTTGATAATGTAACGTTTATATCAAATAGATATGGACTCTGGTAATCCGGGGAGGTGAAACTTGTGTCCTCCTCGTGACCGTGATTAACCAATCGGGTTCAACAGATCATCGTCACGTGACACAACAAATATGTTTCACCTCCACATCTACAAGTGTTACTTTTACAGGGGTACGTGTACTCACACTGCCGGGGCCGGCTGGTGGAAGGTAGATCTTGGAGACAAGTTCGTTGTGGAGAAGGTATGGATAAGGAACAGGGTAGACTGTTGCTCTGAAAGACTCAACGGAGCTGAGGTCTTCGTAGGGGATATATCCTGTGGAACTATTGAGCAACATCCTCTCAAGTCCAATTACGAACTGGTATGTGGCGAGGGAATAGTTGGAGACTCTGTCAAGATTGTGAATGATCTCGCGTCTCTAACCCTCTGTGAAGTGAAGGTGTACGGAGATGACACTCCTGTCATTGAAACGACTGATAAAGAAGTTGTGGGGGACAAGTCTGGAGGTTCAGATGACGCACAGTCTGTAGCCAGGTGTCCGATGGGCTACGTGGTTACGTACTGTGAAGCCCAGACTGGGAGGGCTGGTAAAGCTGAGTGCGACGGGGCATTTGTGCAGCCTGATAACGGTGGAGTGTGTGTCGCTGTTAACGGATATAATGGTTCCGGTGCTGTTGCTAGAGCGGTGTGTTCTCAGTTTGAACAGGTTGCCGACCCCTGCAACGGTCCTAACCTCCCCAAATACCGGAACCTCCACTCCAGAGGACACAGTCCAAGTCTTCAGTGTCCCGCTGGTTACGAACAGATTCTGTGCAATGCACGGAGCCCATGGACCGGAAAGTTAAATGGCCAGAATGTTGATGATAAGGGAGTGATTCCAAACGAGGAAGATTGTGCTCTTCCGAACTGTGCAGCTGACCGGTTTTGGTGTGAGGTAACTGCCGTCTGTCAGCTGATCGAGGATTCAGAAGCGTACGCTTCAGCAGTGTGTAGCACCTGTGATGGATACCACTGTGGAGAGAGTGAGGAGTGTGTCATGATGGATATGGATGATGACCCTGAAGATGAAGAGGCGCCCACTTGTGTGGAGAAGCAAACTGGCTGCGATGATAATGACAGGTTGGTGATATGTTACTGATTTTTAAACATTTTCTTTCTGATTTGAACGTAGGCGGGGTAGAGTTGTTAACTTAAAGTTTGGAATCTAGAGAATAGAGCTTTGTCTCCTAATAATTAGCTCTAGATTACAGACTTGTACCCTGTTATAAAGCAACTCTCTTACAACAGATGTGGTGAAAACGGCGTGTGTGCTCCAGTTGGGAGTGATGATTACGAGTGCAAGTGTGGAGAAGACTACGAGTTCAGTGTTGTTACCGGCTCCTGCATCCCCGTTCATACCATTTGTAAGTACCTTCTTGCATCCCCGTTCATACCATTTGTAAGTACCTTCTTGCATCCCCGTTCAAACCATTTGTAAGTACCTTCTTGCATCCCCGTTCATACCATTTGTAAGTACCTTCTTGCATCCCCGTTCATACCATTTGTAAGTACCTTCTTGCATCCCCGTTCATACCATTTGTAAGTACCTTCTTGCATCCCCGTTCATACCATTTGTAAGTACCTTCTTGCATCCCCGTTCATACCATTTGTAAGTACCTTCTTGCATCCCCGTTCATACCATTTGTAAGTACCTTCTTGCATCCCCGTTCATATCATTTGTAAGTACCTTCTTGCATCCCCGTTCATGCCATTTGTAAGTACCTTCTTGCATCCCCGTTCATACCATTTGTAAGTACCTTCTTGCATCCCCGTTCATACCATTTGTAAGTACCTTCTTGCATCCCCGTTCATACCATTTGTAAGTACCTTCTTGCATCCCCGTTCAAACCATTTGTAAGTACCTTCTTGCATCCCCGTTCATACCATTTGTAAGTACCTTCTTGCATCCCCGTTCATACCATTTGTAAGTACCTTCTTGCATCCCCGTTCATATCATTTGTAAGTACCTTCTTGCATCCCCGTTCATACCATTTGTAAGTACCTTCTTGCATCCCCGTTCATACCATTTGTAAGTACCTTCTTGCATCCCCGTTCATACCATTTGTAAGTACCTTCTTGCATCCCCGTTCATACCATTTGTAAGTACCTTCTTGTATCCCCGTTCATACTATTTGTAAGTACCTTCTTGCATCCCCGTTCATACCATTTGTAAGTACCTTCTTGCAAAACTATTTGATTTATTGTTATAATTATTATCAAATTGCTTTAACTACAGGGAGAACGGTGTACGGTGAGCCAGCAGTTGGTGATGATGCGATTAGTTACGCTGAGTGTAACCAGGGGGATGTGGTCATGAGGTAAAACAGCTTCAATCTCATAACCAATCCCATCCTCTTATCTCATCCTCTTATCTCATCCTCTTATCTCATCCTCTTATCTCATCCTCTTATCTCATTCTCTTATCCCATCCTCTTATCCCATCCTCTTATCTCATCCTCTTATCTCATCCTCTTATCTCATCCTCTTATCTCATCCTTATCCCATCCTCTTATCCCAACCTCTTATCCCATCCTCTTATCCCATCCTCTTATCTCATCCTCTTATCCCATCCTCTAATCCCATCCTCTTATCCCATCCTTTTATCCCATCCTCTTATCCCATCCTCTTATCTCATCCTCTTATCCCATCCTCTTATCTCATCCTCTTATCTCATCCTCTTATCTCATCCTCTTATCTCATCCTCTTATCTCATCCTCTTATCTCATCCTCTTATCTCATACTCTAATCTCATCCTCTTATCCCATCCTCTTATCCCATCCTCTTATCTCATCCTCGCATCTGTTTAGAACATTTCATACTTCTCACATTGTCTCGTCATCTAAATTTTGATAAATACTTATATTTCTGTGATACGACAAAATATTAATTAATAAAAGTTCCTTAATTCGTCAAGCTTTGGGGGCTTCTAACGTCTCTTTTAACAACGTTCAATCCTTGAAAAACAGGGACAAAAGGAAATCGCGGCATGTACGGAATCGCGATTTTTCCCATTATTTGCGACAAATTTTATGTATAGTTTAATGTATAGCCTGTTAAATTTCGCGGTATCGCGATTTTTGGCCAAAATAATCGCAAAATCCTTTTGTCCCTGTTGAAAAAGAGCTTGATCCATATTCCCACTTATTTAATGTTGTGCTAAGCAGTGTGCTAAGCAGACAGCAGTGCAATTTAACTAATATAAAGAGTAATAAGTGGTGGCGTCAACTGCTCTGTTTGACAATAGCTAAGGAATTAAACAGGAATTCTCGATAGCTAATGAGCTAGCGAAAATGTTGTGCTGGAAATTTCATGAGGCTGTAATTATGTTGTATAAAAGTTCATTTTCCACTCCTAAGTGTGGTACTGTGATGTGAACTGTTCATCTATTTGTCGGAGTTATGGGAATATATTTCAATACGAGAAAATTTACGAGAAAATAATACGTTAAATTTATTTTGCTGCTTCAATTCTCCTTTACAAATTATGTGTGTTTAAAGTAAAAACGTCATTGCAGGTGTCACACATATGGTGCCCCAAGTGCTGCTGATGGGGTCTATATCTCATCAGGCGAGGATGGTATTGTCAAGTGTATTGCTAGGGCCTCCAATCGGGGCAAATACCCTGTCATTGTAAGTGTATTGCTAGGGCCTCCAACAGGGGCAAATACCCTGTCATTGTAAGTGTATTGCTAGGGCCTCTAATAGGGGCAAGTACCCCGTTATTGTAAGTGTTAAATGCAGATTAATAAAAATATTGCTTTTAACAAGCACTGACTCTCATCAAACAACCCAACTCCAAGTTATTGTAACTGAAATGAAATAAAAACAACCGTTCTGCAGGCGATAGCATACTGTGGCACTAGAGCCACAGTTCCAGACCCCTGTACTCAAGATACAATACACTCAGTGGAGTACAGATACTCATCTGCTCACTCTCCCTCTGTTTCCTGTCCGGGAGGGTATTTCATGGAGAGCTGCATCTTTCATAGTCCTTGGACTCAGGTACGTCTGATGAAGCTTCATTTAAAAATATATATATTTCGTGTCATTCTTTGCTCTCTTGAGTGAGTCGATCATGATCGATTTCAGTGAGTGGAGACTCTCATTTTGTCCTCAGTAATCGAACAACACTTTTTAGCCTGTCTATAAAATTACGACTAACATCAGCTATATAGTTTGATTTAGAAGACATAGATGATAGAACAGTTTTAAATATTATTTCCGTGATCATCACAATTTAGTGAAATAGTGACTTTCACCATGCCATCTTCAGGACATGAACGACGCGGCCAGAGCACTTGTGAACAGTATCGGAAGTGTTGACGTAGATGATGATGGTTCCTGCCATATTGACAATTGTCTGAAGACAGAGAATGATAGAAACTTCTGCAAACTTACCGCTATTTGCGCCAAACTGACAGGGTAAGAAGCCCTCCAAACGTCGAGATATAATTACAAGTGACGGTTTCATAACAGTCTACCTACAATCAAATTTCTTAACCAGTTTCATAACATTCAGTGTTAAAAATAATCCCAATTCTCCAGAGATGAGTACGTGAGGACTGCGTGTCCGACCTGTGAGCAAGTGAGGTGTCCGGGTGATCAGGTGTGTAGCATTGTCCGGGATCTCCCAATGTGTCTGCCAAGGATTGTGGGCGGCTGTGAAACTGACAACTGTGGTGATGGTTAGTGAGTTTTATTGCACTATTTATATTCTCTCAGTGCTTTTTTGTTATTTCATACCCTCTCAGTGCTTTTTTTAATTAAAATGTATTGTAAAGTCCGTTCTTCTAAATTTTTGATATTTTAGATCTCTTCCCCCTCCACAAGCCACTTTACACATAGCTGCTGTGTTGAAATTACACATTCTAAACCCCCCTCCCATCCTATTCTAGCTTACGTTAAAACTGCTACACACAGGAACTTGTGTAATGTGAAGAGGGGGTTCTAACAAATACAATATAATTATGTAAATTATATATTTTTGACTTTATGACATTACTAGTGTAACCCGTACCCACGGCCGAGACTATCGCAGTTGAAATACAAAAGTATAAACCCGCCTATTATATTCGATGACACGCATTATATTGTCGTATGAAAGTATGAACTCTCTCTATAAATTATAGAGAGAGTATGATAGTCCAAACAGACCGCAAGCCCTAGTCCCGTAACTTTTACTGTTTTCTTAATTAAGCCGCTCGGAAATTTGCTTACAGATTTACTGGGATTATTAGAATTGATTGCTAGTAGTAGTATACTACAGTACTATATTATATCGAGTAAACTTTGATGGGCAAATTTATTCCACTCCCTATTAATATAAGGCGTGTCGGTAAATTATTTTTTTATTTTTTTAAAGAAAATTTATAATTTGTTAACCGTCTGTTTCTTGACAGGAACATGCGTAGAAGACGGACCAAACTACACGTGCGAGTGTTACTCAGGGTACAAGTTTAACGAGGAAACATGTTTGGATATAGACGAGTGTGCTGAATCGCCCTGTGGTAACGGAGGGTGTACCAACACCCTCGGCTCTTACACTTGTGATTGCAAGACTGGGTATTATGAAGACCAAGGAACGTGTAAGGATGATAACGAGTGTCTTGATGAACCTTGTTCTGATGCGGAGAGGTGCTCTAACATTGAAGGTTAGCGACAAAGTCTACATCACTCATTCTAATTTATCAATATTAGAGTCTTCCGCACAGTTTCTGTAAAAATTACCTGACGACTGATGACCGGGCTATTCAGGGAAATTGAGCGATTAGGTTTGGCCTCTATACGGCCACTATACGGCCTCTATACGGCCTCTATATGGCCTTTATACAGCCTCTATACGGCCACTATATTTCTAATCGCTAATTTTCCCGCTATTAAGTATTCATTATTCAACTTAAAAGTATGACAACAATTTTATTTACTTTATAACTATAAGACTCTATAATTAATAACTATAAGACTCTATATAAGACTCTATAGAAGACTCTATATGAGACTCTATATAAGACTCTATAGAAGACTCTATATGAGACTCTATATAAGACTCTATATGAGACTCTATATGAGACTCTATACAAGACTCTATATAAGACTCTATAGAAGACTCTATAGAAGACTCTATATAAGACTCTATAGAAGACTCTATATGAGACTCTATATAAGACTCTATATGAGACTCTATACAAGACTCTATATAAGACTCTATATAAGACTCTACGTTCCAGGAAGCTATATTTGTGACTGTCTGGACACCTTCATCAGAGATCTCAAGTCTAGGGAGTGTGTCTGTTCTGACGGATTCGGCGCTGTGGAAGGAGAATGTGTCGATATTAACGAGTGTGCTGGAGAATCACCCTGCGGAGAAAATGAGGCATGCTTCAACACGGCTGGAAACCACTACTGTGAGTGTGATGAAGGGTTCGAGCGTGGAAAGAAGGGTGACTGCAAAGACTTCACTCCGACTGACTGTGAAGTGAAACCAAAGAACGACAACATCAAGACAATGGCTGGCAAGAGAGTTCAAGTTAGGCTGGTGGGAGAAGTTAAGAAGACGTGGAGGAAATTCGCTGACATCACCTGGTTAAAGAACAATGAACTCTGGGACCCACAAGGCGACGGAAAGGAGAAGTTCAATGGTTTCACTCTCAGGTTAGATGTTTATAAAACTACTGATTTTAATCATTATCTATGGTAATTCGTTAAAGATGGTCGTTCATCGAGACATAATCCCTTGCTGATATCTAATAAACGTGTGCACACATAACTTGAATAATAATCTTTCCAATTCAGTTTCTATAAACACAATGTTTCTCAGAAACTTCCAAGCTGAGGACGCAGCAATCTACGTTGGTAACATCTTCATTGAAATGAGTGAAGAAGAGAACTACAAATGCTCTGTGTCCGTTACGATTTCACTTAAAGAAGGATCAGCTGCAATTGACATTGAAAATAGGGAAAACTTTGCAAGCACCCAGAAAATTGGAAAAGGCTTGGTGATCGTATGTGATGTTCAACTAACTAATGTTGATTTGGAAAATGCCAACAATCCCAACAATGTCAACTGGTACAAGGTTAATCAACAATCCGGAGAAGACACTAAAATTGAGGAAACGGATGCAGTGAAGATTAACAAGGCGAAGGGTATTTGATTTTGTATTTTCGTTTCGATTAGTAATAGTTCAACTGCAATCACGCGATTCAAAACGATATATTTATATATAATTAGACGCACAAATTTAATGTGGGTATATCTTCCTTTTTTTTGAAATAGAGAGTTGTCAGAATTTGTATCTAAAAATTAACATCAGCTGGAATATGATTGTTAAAACTAAAAACACACTTTGTCGCAGGAACATACAGACTTTGGTTTAAGAGCCCCCAGCCTGATGATAGTGGAACCTACAAGTGTGAATTCAACCAGGAAGGAGTGCAGGCTTCCACTGACGTTTCTATTGTTTGGGCGTAGATTATGAGGTTGAATATTGCGTCTGATTGGCTGGGTATTATCACGTGACTGCTAATAGAATCAGAAATACTTTTAGAGTACAAATATGAGTAGGGGGTGCACGATAAAAATAAACTTGCTCGGATTTAAAAATTTGTACCATTGTTTTCTAGAGACTGTGAGAATTTTCGCAATACCAAATTTGTTATACCTTTTTGAAAAAATCAGTGAGTTTCGCCTAGTATAGTTTCGCCTAGTATAGGTGCCATATTTGATGGTGCGCGGCTTTTGGAGCAAAATTAGCTGTAAAAAATTTTCGTTTCGATTAGTAATAGTTCAACTGCAATCACGCGATTCAAAACGATATATTTATATATAATTAGACGCACAAATTTAATGTGGGTATATCTTCCTTTTTTTTGAAATAGAGAGTTGTCTGAATTTGTATCTAAAAATTAACATCAGCTGGAATATGATTGTTAAAACTAAAAACACACTTTGTCGCAGGAACATACAGACTTTGGTTTAAGAGCCCCCAGCCTGATGATAGTGGAACCTACAAGTGTGAATTCAACCAGGAAGGAGTGCAGGCTTCCACTGACGTTTCTATTGTTTGGGCGTAGATTATGAGGTTGAATATTGCGTCTGATTGGCTGGGTATTATCACGTGACTGCTAATAGAATCAGAAATACTTTTAGAGTACAAATATGAGTAGGGGGTGCACGATAAAAATAAACTTGCTCGGATTTAAAAATTTGTACCATTGTTTTCTAGAGACTGTGAGAATTTTCGCAATACCAAATTTGTTATACCTTTTTGAAAAAATCAGTGAGTTTCGCCTAGTATAGTTTCGCCTAGTATAGGTGCCATATTTGATGGTGCGCGGCTTTTGGAGCAAAATTAGCTGTAAAAGTCGCGTAATTTGACCAAATTCGTTGATTTTTGTCGTGTTATTCGGATATATCTTCAGTTCTAGTTCCTTGAATGAGATCATTCTGAAAATTGGCGACGACCTTCCAATAGGGCTTTCACAACTGTCCGAAAAATTTGGTAGCTATCAGAGTTGATATAGTGATCAAAATGGGGCAAAATACGCTGCTTTTAGCTGTAACATAATGTTTGATAGTTGGATATGCTTTAAATTTTTCGGACACTTTCCTTGTAAGTCTATGAGTAAGTTTACCAATTTTTGTTGCAATCGGAGGTCGGAAAGGATACTCAATATCTATTTGTTTGAAGAAAATTGTGCTGGCCGAAATTAGCGCTAAAAAACCATCCTACAGTCGGCACGCGCGGCTCACTGTCGATGGCGCACTACCTAATATGAGCAAAGTCAAACTAATGGACTGGTAAGAAATGTTAGCATTGAAAATTTGTAGATAGATTTATTTCCAAAATTTCATTTGTCTGTATTACTATTAAAATTAAACACCATTTTTTTTGCATCATCATGTTGTTTTATTATCTGTTATCGTTTTCAGTAAACAAAAATCGGAAATACAAATCAAGTTCTTAAATTACTTTAATAATTTTGCAACCATGTTTTAGAGTTCTGAAAAATTAGGCTAGGCTTTCAAAAGATATAAATACATAATGAACGCAGTCACGAAGGTTCCCTCAAGTATCTTAAAGAAGCAAAATAATTTGAGAGTCCTGCTCACAACCAAAACACAAAAACAAAATCGCCATTCGCCATCATGGACAGGGGATTAGTTGCACCAAAAGCTAAATAACCACTACGTGAATTGTTGACCATTGTTAATGGTCTGGCCCGGCGCGCGCTACTTCGTAGCTCTTGCCGTCGAGAAGAAAGCGGCGCGCGCTACTTCGAAGAAATTTAGACGAGTAACATCCGTCAACGTGAATCGGCCTTATCATACGTTGTTTGACCCGCTCCCACTGTATCGCAATAACCACTGGGAGACTTTGGGACCGGAAACTGATCCGGCACAACTATACGTTGTATCACGTGGTGACCCCCACGGTCGCTTCACTACTGTAGAGTTTCGACGATACAGGGGGAGCCGCGCACTTCGTGCGCGGCGGGTCATACAACGTATGACAAACTATACGGGAATGCGTTGTCATACGTTGTATGACCCGCCGCGCACGAAGTGCGCGGCTCCCCCTGTATCGTCGAAGATGCTATAGTGAAGCGACAGTGGGGGTCACCACGTGATACAAGGAATGCGGCCAATAACCTTTTTCCAAGATATATCACTATCAGCAGATCTCGGCCTTGATATTTTATTTTTTACTTTTAGAACGACCCACATCCTCTCCATGCTTACCTGGGGACCTCAGGTTATTATATTTATGTTCATAATCATATTCCGCCGAATAGAGACTCGGCTCCCCTGTATTGTAGAAACTTTACCAAAGTGAAACGACCGTGGGGTCACGACGTGATACAACTATTTTACTATTTTACTTGTAAAACAAGCGCGTCACGCATTGCTAGTCTATCCAAAGCCCTTGCGCTTGCAGTAGCGCGCGCCCGCCTCACTTGTGAAACAAGCGCGCCCGCAGTGGCGCGAAAGCACATGGTTAGGTGAACGTCACGCAATTCGCGTAGACTCGATCATAGCTACAAGCTATGTGGACCTTTACCGTTATTATAAATGATATTAGAATTTTTAAACGCAAATTAACATTTGATTCACGATGCGATGTCAATCCTTTGCGATTTAACGGGTGATACTCGTAAAATATCTGTTCCATAACTCGGCACGCGTCCTGGTAGGTTGTAAACCTATAACTCGTCGATCTGCATACGAGAAGATGCGCGGCCCAGTAGTGCATCGCGCTACAAATATAAATTAACATTTAATTGATGATGTCAATTCTTCGCAGGTAGCTCAGCGAGGCCCAGTGCACAGTGGCGCATTTTACCAATTTTATGGTTGCGAGAAGCATTTATATTGAATGCGCGGCGCTGCCCGGTAACGCATCGCGCTACAAATTAACATTAACACATATTGATCAATGGACCTAAATTTGCGTGCAAAAATATGTCGGTTAAATCCAATGCACAATGTGTGTCATGGTCAATTTATAAATTCGCAACGTGGCGGGTACTTTTGAGTTCAAATAAAATGTTTGCGATCTTTGATTGAAAAACAAATTAAGTATTTGATTAAATATGGAAACCATCTTGTGTGCAAAACTTTTTTCTAAAATATCTGCATGGCATCTGTCTTGACACTTTGACGGACCATATTTACAAAGAATATAATCATTTTGATGCTGGAATTTTCAGCAATTTAATATAAATTCACATGCAAGCCTCTTGATTATATAATGCTATATTGTTACCTTTTTAAATGTTTAAGATGGAATTCAGGAGGCAAGGGTGGGTGCGTAAACTTATTACGGTCTGCACTCTCCGATCCTGTATCAACCTTGACTCTTTTCGACGTACTTTTGTTAGAGGTATATATACCTTCTAGTCACTTTCTTGCTACTCCAAGTCCCCTAAGATATCTGGTCTAAATATTGTGCTAGTTATAAAATATATTTTTGTCTGCTTTAATTGATATTAAATAAAATTGTTGTTTTCTTGAGATTGTTGTTTTCTTGGTAAAATCTATTAATTCTAAAATCATCATATCCTATTAGACTGCTAGCTTTGTTGCTCAGTTAGGTACAGATTTAACTTCCATCCCAAAACACAGTCGATCTAGCTGGTTTGCCCTCCAGTATAAAAACGTTAGACCATATACTACCGGATTTTCTTCCATAGGAAAAGGAATTCGTGCAATTTTCTTTACAAACGAAAAATTTACCACAAGTTCGGATGGAAACCTACAAATTACATAATGGTATATAAGTTATCTGAAAAATGGAAAATTGAACATTCTCATCTGGCACGCCAATGCCAATGCTCTCATCGGGAGAGAAGCGAGCAATAGACTAGCAAGCTAGGTAATGAACATTCATTCTTATTCATTTTCCACATTTTTACAATATTGATTGATAATCAAGGCTAAAATGTAATCAAGGCTAAATGTAAATTTCCAATTTCCGGCGCTTAGTCTGTCATTCCGCCCCAGCCTAGGGTCCCCAGGTAAAACAATATGAGACGCCTTGAAACTTGTAAACCTAGAAAACAACAACGGAACGAAATGTGAAATATATTGAGTCTGATCACCAATTTATATAAATAAGTTATTTACTTACTTTTGCTTTTGACCACCCCATAGCTCCAATTCACAGCATGGGATTATGATAATGTGACTTTCCTAGAACTGTGGTTTGTTAGGATGCAATCGTTGCGTTGAGATTTATTGAGATTCATCTACTTTTACCTAAAGTTTTGGTGGTAAAAATCTACGCCATCTAGATTCTAACAAGAATTGTGCCCGTTGTTTCGCTTTGGCGGACGCTAGATTTCCATTCCACATTTACTATAAATTTAAGTATAACCTCCAATCAGCTCACTTCAATCTTCATGATAATAATATTGATAAATTGAGCATAAAATACGGGAAACACTTGAAATTCAGTCCAATTGCCGTAGAACTTAACTTGCATCTGTAATTCAAGAAATTGTAAAAAGGTAAACTATACTTGTGTACACATCAATACACTACGCGTGTATAATGGTATACTTTTTAGTAACTGACCGAAAGTTCAAATTTCGCGTTGGATAATTTAGTATGCTGACCTTGTTCTCAATCATTTTTTATTTTCGCGGCTCCTAAGTGAATGTTGCTTGATGCTGAACTTGGATAACCACCTCATTTACTTACAAAATCTCAGGGGAGTCTTGTACTGATAATTGGGAACAGATCAGCTTTAACAGAGCTGCTGACTCGTGCAGCTGAGTACTGGGCACCTAATCAGGTTCGTCTTTAGCTGATTAGTAATCAGCTAAAGACTAGATCCTGATACTGTTGACAGGGTGGATCGCATTATTTTCACACTCCTCTTGAATAAGTTAGAGCCTTGAAATTTTGGGAGTCGATCCAGTTTTAGATTCTGAACACAATTTCAATTTAAATGGCTTAGCAGCAGCTCCATAAGCTCTTTAATAAATTCAATCAGGACCTATCTAACAAAAATTAATAGACCAAATGAACTGGTTCCTGGTAAGTCCTGAAATTTTAAGTACAAATTCTGGAGCATCATCCCACACAACTTGATAATTTCAAATCGTTAGTTTATATCTCAATCAATATAGTTTTATATTTCAATCAATATCTGAAACAATTTATCACAATTTCAGTAACTTGATCATGTATTTTTTGGAACACCCTTTATGTTCCAAACATACCAAGTTTAAATAATAGTTATCAAATATTTCAATAGATAAGATGGCAAACTAGAGGAGGGTCACTGTGATTACAGCTAGTTTGCGCAGCCATGCTTTACCCACTACGAGGATGATATTCCTCTTTCTTCTCTTCTTCTTCTCATTTTCAGGTTAACAATGAATAAATAAAATAGGTTTAAAAATGTACTGTTTGAAATTTTTAATGATGGTATATGATCGAGATCTGTGTTATTCATTGTACTGTGGAATTTTTTTTAAATTGATAATTGTAGTGATCTTACTGATTTTAAACTACTCAATGTTCTCTTTCAGATTGCAGAGTTATTGACAGTGATAGTTTAGATCCTAATGATGTCATAATCGTGGTAAGAAAACCGTTGTTTTCTCAGTAATAGAACAGAACAGATGTTAAAATTGACACGGCTAAACAATATTAAGATGCATTATATTATGTAGAACACCAATTTACTGCAAACCCAGATTTACCACATCCATTTACTCTCCCCAAATAGGGCATAACATGACGGAACATTTACCCCAGATAAGACCCATATTCAAAACAGATGTTTGCTTTCCCCAAATCAGGGTTTTACTATACCAATCTTTTAATATAAATTTGCTAACAGTTTTATAATCCAATCTTTTCAGAGATTTAAAAAGGATGTGACTCCAAAAACTGCAAAAGATTCCTTATCTGAGATCTTGAAACTACCCCCTGATCAGATCTTTATCGCAAAACACGTTAGTACGAAAGAAACCTTTGAAACCACTGTCCATGTCGTTCAACACTCACATTTGATTTGACTTTTGTCTTGAACTATTTTATCTGGTTTTTAACAATCTTTTTGTTTCTTGGGTTAGAACTACACTGACAACCTAGAACTTCTATCAGTTTTTGTCTTACCTACCAGGAGAGTGAAGACAACACAATATCGTTCACTGTCAGCAAGACAAATGGAACAGCCCTTACTAAAGAGAGCATCTTAGCACTTTTATCTAAGTCAAAAGCACTTTCTGTTGTGTCTGAGCAGCCTGCTGAGGTTTTTATCATTGCACTTTGGGGGACGCAACCCCTTACAGATGTAACCATTATATTATGTATAATGTTTTGCAACTTATTTTACTAAGTAGAGCAAATTAAAATGGTTTTATTGTTTGTAATAATTAAAGTATCAGGATTTGGTTTAAAATATAAAGGGTTTGTAGGGTTGTGTCCCCTCATTATAAATATATTGTTATTGAGAGTTTACTTTTCTCTTCAGTCTTAACATATTTACAATTAAGTTTTCTCAAGATTAATATTTTCATCTAATTTTACATACATGGCAATTGATATAGCCTACAGATAATTTCATGCAATATTATGTTCTTCTTCTAATGTTTCGCTATTGCAGACAACTCAAACATCGCCTGAAAAAGGATTTTGGGAGAAACCTTGGTTTGTTGTTGTAGCAGCTATTATAGCAGGTAGGCATCAAATCCCCAATTAGAGTGATTAATCAATTAATTAATATTTCAACAATAAGAAACAAATATCCTGAAGGTAATGCCTCATTCAACTTAGTGAGATTTTACTCTTTTGTTCGTACTAGTAGGAAATCCATATCTTCTCTGTATGAAACAAATAACAATAGTGCTAATATAAGTCACACACTTTGAGCACTATGCTAAATGCGCTCACTAGATACTGCCGTATTGATATCATTGCTGGCAAATTTCTATTTCGGGTTGTCCCGATCGCATACCGATCATTCCTTACAAGGCGGAAAATTCCCAGTTTTCACCTTAAAATGGGAAGGAATGTGGCAAACCCAACCACCTACTATCTATAAGCCAGCTGTAATAATGATTCGGATAACAAACACGCTTATCTCAGAAACTCCTCTCAGGTATTGTGGTGTTTCTGATTATGGTGCCCCCAATATACCTGTGTATAAAGAAGAGGAAGGGGGGCGAACTTGAGAAGATTGACAGTCAGATAGTTAAACGTTACGATACTATGGGTACGTGGCTTTATACTTGTGTATTGTTATATTGTGTTATGTTAGTATAAATATGTTAAATATTTTAGTATAAATATGTTAATTATGTTAGTATAAATATGTTAAATATGCAACAATATGTTAGTACAAATATGTTAAATGTGTAACAATATTTTATTATAAATATGTAACAATATGTTAGTATAAATATGTTAAATGTGTTAGTATAAATATGTTAAATATGCAACAATATGTTACTACAAATATGTTAAATGTGTAACAATATTTTATTATAAATATGTAACAATATAATATGTTAGTATAAATATGTTAAATATGTTAGTATGAATATGTAAAAATATGCAACAATATGTTACTACAAATATGTTAAATATGTAACAATACGTTATTATAAATATGTAACAATATGTTAGTACAAATATGTCAAATATGTTAGTATAAATATGTAACAATATGTTAGTACTTGAAATATGTATAATATGTAGCAATATGTTAGTATAAATATGTTAAATGTGTAACAATATGTTAGTATAAATAGGTAATATGTTTAATTATGTTAGTATAAATATGTTAAATATGCAACAATATGTCAGTACAAATATGTATAATATGTAGCAATATGTTAGTACTACAAATATGTATAATATGTAGCAATATGTTAGTATAAATATGTATGATACCAAACACCTAACTCCGTTAGTAATTGTTTCAACAACAACAAAAAAACACTTCTCTAGAAAGTAATTGTTCTGGTCACTTAAAACAGGTCAAATTGCTCACTCTTTATTTCTACAGAACCTAGTATAATAGTGCCGACCACTATAATTACTAGTTATTAAGAAACATATTACACGTGACAGTGATTCTGGGATTTGATTGGTCAGTGCTGGAAGCTGATTGGTTAATTGCTGTCACGTGTCAGGAATAGTTTCACCCCCTACCAGACTCCAGATCTGAGATTAAGTAATACTATTTATCTTCAAAATAACACCTGACTTTCTCTGTCTATACAGTGTAGCTGTTGTGGTGGTAGATCTGAATAATTACTAATATTGTAAATTTGTGTATTATATATAATATTATTATACATATTATAATTATTGTTCTTCGTAACTGACACGTCCATATTCACCTTAAATGGTGTACAGATGACAGATGTATGATAAATTTACCGTGGTAACATGATTAATACTCTGATCGGAAAAAACACAATGAATTTAATTTATCGTACATTGTGTATCATACTAACGATTGCATAATATCCTATTACTATTAATAGATTAATTAACTAATTAAACCATCTGCTAATTGGGTGTAACAAATTCTCGTTCCCAGGACGAGATGGAAGTATCCAGTCCAGAAGGAAGCTAGCACCTCAAGCTCTCACACTAACACCACTAAGTCATCAGAGTACCGAGTCTTCAGACAGTGACAGCTCTCCACCTGGGTACGTGTTCAAACACAAGGAAATATCTTACCTAGTCATTGTATCTAAAACACAATGAAATATCTTACCTAGTCATAATATTTAAAACACAGTGACAGCTCTCCCCCTGGGTACGTGTTCAAACACAAGGAAATATCTTACCTAGTTGAATTATATGTAAAACACAGAGACATATTTATAAGTTATTTTCCGGTAAATCAACAAAACGAATTCCGTTTCCCGGTACGCTAGCGTACCGGGCGTACCTACTTTTGAAAGGTAAGCTAGATACAGTGTGTTAGAGTGTAGTGCTGTAGTGTTAACTACTACTACAAATACTACTGTACATAATATAACTGTTATAATAGCTCCTAACCCGAGTACAATTTAAAGAGTGTGTTTACTAACTAATTATAATTAATTAATATAATTATAATTCTGCTGAATGCACTCTATACTAGTCCGCCCATTCCTTTTCTACAGAATCTAAAGTGATGTCGAGGTGTATGTTTCAACTGTTCGGCAACTCATTACATTATAATTACGATAATGACTAGAAATTTTTACATCGCTTTATAGCCGAAAAGAACTCAAAAAGATTCAGTTCAAGCCATCTTAAGCGACACAAGGCAAAATTCATTACACAATATTGTTCACTTGATATTTTAAGGGTCAGCACTAAACCATTTCGATTTTATCCGTATCATTGTAACCTTTTTTTCAGAATTTCCAATAGCTAATGTTCCGTTAACAGTTAAAATTACTACCCCAGATGTTTAAATTACCACGTTTCTCAATATAGACAAACGCTCTGAAAGTAATCCTTAATATAAACAGATTTAAACAATTTTGTGTTCTGAAGTACAGTAAAAACACCGATTTACTATTATACCGGGATTTACCGGGAGTTCTTTCCTTTTCTTAAGGGGGGGGGGGAGGTTCACCCTGATTTTGTTGTGAAACTTGGTTTCGAGATAGCAGTTGACCAACAAACTAGGACCAGTGACCAAACTTTTGAGGGGGTCCCGGACCCCAACCGCCAAACGGTGCCCGCGGGGCAGCCACGCCCATATTTGGTCCAAATTAGGCCCAATTTAGCCAAATGCCCTGAACATGCCCAAAATCAAGATTTTAGGTAGAATTGTCTCATGACCTTAAGTTTTGGGACAGAATTTTGAGTTAGGCCTTTAAAAAAATTTGGCGGCCAAGTTCTAAATTTAGCATTGCAAATTTTGGAATTTGGCCGCCGCCCCCCCCCCCCCCCCCCCCCCCCCCCCCCCCCCCCTTAAGTGAAGTCAAAACCCTGATTTTCCTAACTTGCAGATCAAGCTTATTTTGTACCAGTGTCAGTGAAATTCAGAAATTGTCAAGATTTACCAACGATATTTCATCCGTGTATTTCTCGCCGATTACCTATATTATATATCATATATACATATACTACATTACATAGGGATTCTAAACATCGCACAATCTCCCGAAATCTCCAGCGTAGATTAAATTGCAGCCACGCCTCATTTGGAATAGCCAATCACGGCGGGATATGCTCGGACAGGAACCAATGAGAATAGAGCTTGAAAGTCATGTGACGGTCATGCAACCTGTCAGGTGTGGGTTTGTGGGAGTAGATTGAAAGTTTGATTAATAAAGGTCGGGTATTGATTGAAACCTGGAGATACTACACCAGCACTACTTGGAGCTTTGGGTCACGTTGTCTGTGTCTGTGTGTGTGTGTGTGGGTGTGTCTGTTTCTGTGTATTTTAATGCTATGAATTAAATTTTCTGTATCTTTCATCGTAGCGTTAGGGTGAATATGAAAATTAGCAAATCCTACCTAGATGTACAGACACATGTACAGAAATTATTTCACTGTAAAACTGATATTATCATAACATAACGTCTTTTCATTTGACTGCCATCTTGCGGGAGAAAATTTTGTCCAGTTTCTCATTTTAACCACAAGATTTCAACTTCACTGCCATGTTATGTATGTATTATATAGCTAAACATTATAACTTTAATGTTGTTCTGTTTAGAACACACTGTATAGTGTATACCGTCTACATCTCAAGTTAGGTAGTCTACTTTATAGTCTATATAATTACAGTCTACATAACACTACAATCTACATAGTATGATGCTAGTATGATGCTACTATGCAGGCTGTTGCGATCTTATGTTTAAGATTTCTAACGTTTTCTAGCCATACTCAAATAAGATTTCCCATACTCGGTACTGATGAGAAAACATCAGTAATCTTAAACACAAATTTAGAAAATACCTTACATAATAGTCATAATAGTCTACATCTCTAGCCTTTGCCAGTCTCTACCAGGGTGTATATTACACAATACACACAGGTTGTAGTCTAGTTTGGTATATCTGCAGACAGTGTAATTGATACCTGCATTTAACTTTCAACTTCCGGCTAATCTGTGTGTAAACTAGTTAATTTGTGTGTAAACTAGTTAATCTGTGTGTGAACTAACTAATTTGTGTGTGAACTAACTAATTTGTGTGTAAAATAGCTACATTACACAGTTACTAACTCGTATTGTACACACTGCACTCTTTACAGAGCTTTGTAATCTGCAGATTAACCGAAATTATCTAATTACTAATTATCTAATTATTAATTAATTAATTAATTAACTAACTACTAGACAGACAGAGTTAGTTACCTGCCCTCATACTGAGTGTACACTGCACTGTTCCAAAGTTATCGGTAGATCGGGTGAATTAAGTTTAAATATATTAAATACAAGTTTACAGTTGATTTATAAGTTCTAGAATATAATTACTACTGACCCCTCCCTTCCCTAATGTAGTTACCGCGAAAAAATACAACAGTTTACAACAGTTTACAACTTTATGTTTAATTTATTCGTAATTTCCTCACTGTCCTATTACAAACGTAATATATAATATTATTATATTCAATATAATATGTAATAATGTAAAGTATTTTATTAATCCCTTGTCAAGCCTTCCTCACGTCTTACAATAATTCGTTAATTACAAACGTCAATATTTGACAAGTCAAGTCGTTTAAGACAAGAGCTGTCCAGCAGTTATGTAAGTTACACTATTAAGTTTGGACACACCCTGATTACCAAGCGAGCTACACACATTTAGCATTTACCTGTCTATTTACAGGTAAATAGGCGTGGCTCAGTGCACCACACCTAGTAAATAAATGAATAAATTAAAATCAGTTACAGCACTATATCGATACATAATATAATATTAATAAAATCTATCTTATTTGTATTAAAGGAAATGCTCGTACTGCTGTAAAGGATAGAAACCGCCCAGTTTAAAGTTACCTCCAAGAAACGACTCAAACTTTCGGTTCAGTTTCAGCTGGTTCTGAAGTTCAGATTCGTCAAATAATTTTCCGAGCTTAATCAGAGAAAGATTATCGAGAGTATTACTAAAGTTTCCCTTTTCCAGCGCCCAGATTTCACTTTCGACAATTCCACCGTCCGCGTCCCATACAAATATCCCAAGTATTTAAAATATTCCTTTTTGACGGTACATAAGATGATTCTACACGACAAGGAGCTAGAAGGGAAGTAAATGACCGGTGTAATAAATACCATTGTTACTTATCACAGCAGCTCATATTCTCCTGTCCTACCACATTACCAACTTCTCATGAAATCAGGAGGAGGAGGAGGAGGGGGGGGGGGGTGGGCAGGGTGGAGGAGGAGGAGGGGGGTGGGCAGGGTGGAGGAGGAGGAGGAGGGGGGGTGGGCAGGGTGGAGGAGGAGGAGGGGGGGTGGGCAGGGTGGACACCAGCTTTCAGTATTGTTGATATTGTTTGTATATAATTCGGCATCCTGTCTTAGGAATTTTTAGTGGAAAGTTAAATTAATTTAAGAAGTCCAAACTATTTAATTCGGACACTTTTGACGATCAGTAGAACGTGATATTAGTAATTCTTAAAGGTTTGTTATGAAAATATCGGAGACCCACCCCCCCCCCCCCCCCCCCCCCCCCCCCCCCCCGGCCCCCCCCCCCCCCCCCCCCTACCCTGATCTAACACTAGTTAAAGTTGTCATAATGAGTGGTAAAGTGGTGTAAGAAGCCGTCCCGTGACAGGAGAGAGTCTCAAGAATAGTATTATTTACACAGTGTGTTGGTTATCAATCAGAGTCACGTGTTATCAATCTGAGTCACGTGTTATCAACCAGAGTCACGTGTTATCAATCAGAGTCACGTGTTATCAATCAGAGTCACGTGTTATCAATCAGAGTCACGTGTTATCAATCAGAGTCACGTGTTATCAATCAGAGTCACGTGTTATCAATCAGAGTCACGTGTTATCAATCAGAGTCACGTGTTATCAATCTGAGTCACGTGTTATCAATTAGAGTCACGTGTTATCAATCAGAATCACGTGTTATCAATCAGAATCACGTGTTATCAAGAAAAGCTTATTCTGCTAAAAGGATGCATAATGCGATTAAAATGAATCCCGCTTATTAAACCAATAAGTCACATAAGTAACTTACTATTTAATTAAATTACTTACTATTTATTAATGTAACTTACTATTTAGTGACATTACTTACTATTTATTTATATAACTGATTTACTGACTATTTATTAATATAATTGACTATCTAGTGAAATTATTTACTATTTATTAATATTACTGACTATTTAGTGACATTACTCAAGTTATTCAGTAATACTTTCAATAATGACTTTACTCACACGATGACTGATGAGTGGTTTGCACTCATCACAAGTCTAAGTTAGACCTCCTGACTCCAAATAAGAAAGGTTATTCTCTCCTTTACTCTTAGCTAAACATTAATACCTTCACTAGAGCTGAGTACACTACACACCGGGTGGGGATCTTAGTACCTGATCCCCCCGCCCCCCCCCCCCCCCCCCCCCCCCCCCCCCCCGCCCCGCCCCCGCCCCCCCCCCCCCCCCCCCCCCCTCGCACACACGAGAAGGAAAGTATCAGAGTCTTTGTAGTGCTCTCATCAAAATTTACTAAATTTGGG